TATATATATATATATATATAACAATAAGGAGACAGGAGACAGTTATATATATATAAATGACACTAAACAAAGTGCTGCTGCTGCTGCTGCTGCTGCTGCTGCTGCTGCTGCTGGTGGTGCAGAAAGGGGACAGTAGAAATCCCTTGTGTGTACTACTTACAGGAGGAGCAGCAAAAGGAGGATGTTCTTGCTGCAGCTGCTGCTGCTGCATATGCATAGGTAGCATCTGCCCATACACCGCAGGGTGTACAGGAGGGACAGCAGGAGGATGGAGGGGTGGTGTCCTTGCTGCATTAAAGAAATCGGAGTGTGCTGCTGCTGCTGCTGCTGCAGCATCTTTAAGATGTAATGCTAACTGATGCTGCTGCTGCTGCTGCTGCTGCTGCTGCTGCTGCTGCTCGTCCTCGTCCCTCCCTCGCCAACTAGAGAAACGCATTAACTTCTCAATACCTCCGCGTACAGCAGAAGTAAAACTTCTTCTTTGTGTATCATCAGCACTATAGCTACTAGATAGTCTCCTTATGCTGCTTCCTTCTCCTGCTGCTGCTGCTGTATCTCCTGCTGCTGCTGCTGCTGCTGCTGCTGCTGCAGTAGCAGCAGCTACTGATGATGATGAGAGAGGGAAGGCGGGACGACCACCAAACCCTGAAGATAGAGAAGGAAATCCAGGGGGGTCCTGGGCAACAACTGGCCACCCGCTGCTGCTGCTGCTGCTGCTGCTGCTGCTGCGGGTCTCAATATCTATTTGTGTGCTGCTGCCTGCTTCTGATGGTTTTGTACAAGAAGATACAGAAGTAGTTGAGGAAGCAAGAGGAAGACCATTTGCTGCATACGCCATCTCTTGTTTTATTATGTGCTGCTGCTCCTCTGTATCTACACTCCCCTCTGTCTCCGATCTACCAGAGTCCACGTTGCTGCTGCTGTTGCTGCTGTTGCTGCTGCTGCTGCTGCTGCTGTTGTCATCTGCTGAGGCGAGGGAGAGAGGTAGGGCGGAGGAAGCAGAAGCATCTCGGGAAGCAAGAAGATTCTGCAGTGTTGATGACTGCAGCAACTCAGATGCAGGAGAACGCATGAGGGAACCTCTTATGCTGCTGCTGCTGCTGCTGCTGCTACCTGTGGTGTTGCTGCGCTGATAAGGAGCAACGTCGCAAACATCGCTCCGAGGTGTACTGACGCTACCAGGGCTCTCCATGCTATCCTGGCTGCCATGGGGCCCCTTTGCTGTAGATTCGCTCATTGCCAGGTGCAGGGCCGCAGCAGGCGCTGCTGCTGCTGCTGTTGCTGCGGCTGCTTTCGCTGCTGCGGTGACACCGTAGAGTAAGCTCTCTTGTAGGGAATGAAGGCTTCCAGACTTCGTGGAAGCCGTACAGACACTCGATTATGCAGCTTTAAGCAAGTTTATGCAGCAGCAGCAGCGGATGTTGCTCCGGTCGCAGCAGCAGCAGCAGCAGCAGCCGTTGCTGCAGGATCAGGAGCGGCAGCAACAGCTGCAGCTGCAGCAGCAGCGTGGGTCCTGGACACTCAAAAAGCTGTTGCTGCTGCTGCTGCTGCCATAGGAAGCAAAAGAGGAAATGTGGGAAAGTGAAGAAAGAGGCAACTCTTGAAAAAATCCGCGAAGTTGCACAAGTAGGGCGGAAGATGCGGAGGCAGCTGCTGCTGTCAATAACGGTTTTTTTCCTTTTTATTTATTAAATAATTTAATATTTAGGAATTAAATAAAAGAAGAAAAACTTTTCTCCCTTCAAATGCTATTTTTGAAGGAAATTTCGCAAGAAAGCGCAAAGAGGCGCTGCTGACGCCGCTGGCATGCGCTGTCTTCGGCGGGGGGTATATATAAACAGCCAACAAGCTCTTCTCTTATTCATTGCTGATTATAATATATTTTTTTATTTTATTTATAACCCTTATTTATATATACTTGTTTATTTTAGAACGAACAGGCAAAAGAGAATAAGAACAAACACGCCTACATATAACACATCCACCGCGCCTACAAACTCCCCGGCTGATGCAGTATCATGGCGGTGTTTGGAGGAGGAAGAAGAAACAATTGTTCTTTTTTTTTGTTGTTCTTCTTTTATTTGCATTATTTTCAAGTAAATAGTGACAAATTAGTCAATTTTAGGTAAAGATCGCAGCCGTGACCGGATAGAGCGATACACGCGAATACAGTTTAGTGGTGAATGCAGCAATACAGAAAAAACAAAAAAGGTGAATCTGTGTTAGTTTACCTCCTCTTCTACCTAACTATCTATACAGCATGCTGAACAAGAGGATAAATAGGCTTCTGGCCCCCTCGAGTCGACAACTCTATCTCTACACCAAACAGCGAAGGTGATGCTTGGGCTGTGTATAACGAGAGTAACCAACCGTAGTCGGGATCCTTGGCTTTCTGCACTGGTACCAAGGTACCTAGTTATATTATTAAAAAGAATACTGTTTAATTCCCCATCTAGCAGTAGTCAGGTTCCCTATACCCCATAGAATCCAATGGACTGCGAATCTCTTAGAGGCAACGAATATGGCCAACCTGCCGTAAGTGCGCAGCAGCCTATCATGGTCTTGGGGCTGACTGCATGACCAAGAAAAAGACCCACTATAAGGGACCGGCAAAGGGGTCGGAGTAAGAGGACAAGGGGAACTGCTAGGCAGTTATTGTTTAATTGTTGTTATTTCCTTGGTCTTTGTGTTATTTATCTGAATTAACCTGGGGAGAAAGGAACACCATCATCATTATACAAATTAATTTCCTCTCCTATACCCAACTTTTTCCTGATTGTTTCTCCCCCTAGTAAATAATCTTGTTATAATATAAACAATTGATACAGGACTTTTATGTTAACAATTGGATAATTCCTCGTTAAGGATTGACACTATATTAGTTGCCTGTCTTATTTCTTCTATCTAGTTGCTACCATAGCCGCTCCCCTTGCTTACCTGGGTAGTTGGTGTACCTACCGCATGCATACACTCCGTCGTACTAAGTTGGATCCGATGCCTATAAAGACAGGAATTCCTGGCTGCCCTCTTGGGGACTGAATTATTAATGAGTTATTTTCTCTATAACGATATTTTGTATTGGGAACAATTCGTCCTTTTTCCTATGCAACAAGACTGCTCTCCTTTGGTCCCCCTCCGGTGGTAAGGCAAAGCCTACTGACGGATGTCTATTAAGGGAGGGAAGAAGAAAAGCTGAACATTTAGCAAATATTCATCAGCAAAGATATTGTTTCACGGTGTCTTCCTCATTAATATGCATTATACACCTGGCTGTTTAGCTGTGAGTGTCCTTCCTCTCAACTGTCGCCTCTCCTGGTGAACTGGTGAACAAGGGGGACCTCCCTTGTGCAACACGAACGTCGCCATTCTTAACACTAGGGATGTAACAAGCTGTAATACATATAAAATAAATTGCACAAATAACTAGGGTATGCATGCGCTGACAAATCATAAATTGTTGTAGACTGTTTAGTCCTCAATAGCCAACATACATAGATGCAGTAGTGTGTGTACCCGCATTGAACAGGAATCTGCAGGGGACGGGAGCTTTCCTTCGCCGCCAAAGGACGTAAAGTACCATCAATCCAACACTAGTAGAAATGTTTAATTCGTGTAATTGGTGCCTCCGAATTTAGATCTTCCTCTTGTGTGTCATGTGTATTCCCCTCAGCTGTATTGAACTGGTATTGGCCTATCGATGACGCACGGTTTGCAGTGTGTACATACCACTCCTTCTACCGGCACTAGAATTCATCTTGAGCAAACGTTAATTGTGAAATTGACACAATATAGGCTAAAGATGAAAGAAATATTGGGAAAATACTGCCTATAAGAAGAAAAGGCTTGTGTGTAATCGGCACCTCCTGCGGGAGAAGGGATGGTGGGGGGCAGCTGCGCTCCTGGACTACTGGTGGGGGGGAGGTATATGGCTCTTATTCCCTCTAGCTTGGGTGTATTTAATGCTAAAATGAATAATATATTTAGATGGTTTTATTGTTTGAATTGATTGTTGGGGAATAAAGGAGCAGGCACGCTTCACAGTGCCCCAAAGCGTTGCATCGTGCGCCCGCTTCCAGTGGTCTTATCCAGCCGCCCGGTGGGGCAGCTTTCAAAGCAGGGAGTTGTGCGCTGGCTGTTTGGAGGTCTGCTCTGCACATTTGGTTTCTTTACCCTTTTTTGTAATTTAACACGAATTACAAAGAAGAAAAAACTTACTCCATGTGCTCTAAGCTATAAAAAGGCGAGAGAATCTCACGAAAGCGGGAGAGGGGGAAGGAGTTGAATCGAGTCCTTGGAGTTTTCTGTGTGGTGCATTTCTTCCGTGTGTCTTCTGTCATCATAAACCGGGGAATGAAGGGGAGCAGTTGTGCTATTCTTGAATTGTTTCAACTTAAACTATTCGAGGCTATGCAGACTGTGGAGAGGTTCCCCTCCTTTTTTTCGGGCAGCATTTGGATTTGCTGTGTAGATGGCATACGCTCATTACTTGCTGTGTTTTGTCTGCCTTGTCGGCGTTGTTTGCACACATTGAGTTTAGCTCAATCTTCTGTGTTGTTTTATCATTCGTAGTTCCCCTTTTTGTGAACCAGACAGTGAATCACTTTTTAAAGGGGGCTATACACAACGGAGCACTTCGTGTTTATTCAGAGACGCGCTGTGTTTTTTATGCTGGCTGGCTGCTTCCGCGAGTTAGATCGCCCTCAGCGTGTTCCTTCCAATTCCTGCTGTTTATGATGTAGCGTGCCTTGTGACACAGAGAGGACTTTTTTTTTGAGACAAACGCCCGCCTGCTCTCCCAGGAAAGAGACGGAGGAGGCGAGGCAACCGCAGCACGCCTCTCAGCAGCTTAGTCAGCTGCAGCAGCAGCAAGACCAGCGCCGCAGCGTTGATGTCTGCTTTTGCAGTGCAGTGAGATTCGTGCGAGTGGAACTGTCGCCGTATGTTTGTACCTCTTGAGTGGCCTGGTTCCCCTTGCAGGCACCGAAGGCTATTTCGTCTCTGCTTTCTCACATCTTTTGGGAGCCGTTCCTTTGCTTTCTTTTGAGCCATGTCGTTGGGTCTATTGACAGAGGCGGAGGTGCAACAGCCGCCTGAGCTATTCTCGCTACACCGAGATGCGTCACAGGGTGCTGGTGGGCCACAGAGCGTGGGCTTCGTCACGACGTCTGCAGCTTTCCTACCTCAGGGAGCCGACGATGACTGTCTGTCGACCTTCTATCCTTCAGATGACACCCAGGCGGCCACTTGTAGCCCTCTTTTTAGCGCTTCTGCAAATGCTGCTGCTGCGAGTGCTGCTGCTGCGAGTGCTGCTGCTGCGAGTGCTGCTGCTGCGAGTGCTGCTGCTGCGAGTGCTGCTGGTGTGAGTGCTGCTGTTGGTATGGGTACTGCCGCTGGTACGAGTGCTGCTGTTGCGGTTGGTGTTGCTGCAATTGTTGCTACTGTAACTGTTGGTGTGAGTGCTGCTGACTGCGAGTGCTGCTGGCTGCAAGTGCTGCGGATTCTGCCGTTGCTACTGTTGAAGGGGATGCTCTGAGGTTCCGCATGCGGAGTGGTGGTTCGTTTGCTGTTCTGTTTGCTTTGGCTTGTACAGTTGAGGTGGGCTGCTGCGACTCGCCGTGGGTACCTCTGGCAGCGTTGATTTCTCCTGCAGAGTCGAGTGAGCAGACTCTTGGAGCTCCTGCTGCCGCAGTAGAGGAGCTTCAGCAGGAGGCCCCTGCAGAGAAGAAGACCAATGAGGAAAGCAGTGGCAGTCCCGAGGGGGAGGACGGAGTGGTCCATGTGACGGGGTCGGATATGCGGCTGCATAGCGGCAGCAACAGCCGCCAAAGCAGCAGCGGCAGCAGCACAAAGAGGAGTAGCCGCAGCAGGTGCAGCAGCAGCATGCGCATCAGCAGCGTCGCGAGCAGCAGGAGCAGCACTGGCGGCATAAGCTGTGGCTGGGCCAGCGGGGAATCTGAGGGTTTAGGGGTAGGAGGCCGGTCTGCGGAAGAATTGGGTGGCTGCAGTGGGGCGTCTGTTAGTGTACAACGAACCGTGGGGGAGGGGTTTTATAAGACAAAGATGTGCCACTTCTTCCAGAGGGGCCTCTGCATCTATGGCAACCGCTGCAGCTACGCGCACGACCCCAGCGAGATCCGACAGCCCATCAACCTACGCAAGACGAGGCTATGTGTCTCCTTTAGTAGGGGAGTGTGTAGAGCAGTAGACTGCAAATTCGCGCACGGGCAAGAAGAACTCAGGCACGCGGGCAACCTGTACAAAACCCAACTCTGCCTGTTCTGGCTGTCGGGGAAGTGTGGGTCAGTATGCGCTGTACATACACTACCTACACAAGCTACGCGCTACAATAGACACATCACCAACGACGCAAACAGATGAAATATGCTCATGTCGCTCCACGGCGTCGCTACCTTGCTGCTGGTGCTCCAGCTTCTTCGCGTGCTGCTCGTGCTGTTCTTGTTGCTCCTGATAGTACTGCGTGTGCTTCTTCTGCCTCTTCGGCTACTACTGCTCGTGCTGGTTGAACTGCTTCTCCTGGACAATGCGTGCCAGGTTTAGATCATGCGCTTTATAGCCTCGTCGTGCTTGCTGACCATGTGTTTGTCTCTGCCACTAGTTCGTCTCAGGGTGTATATTTGTGCGTGTTGTTCCTTTTTTCGTTTTGTGGTGTCTGCCTGTCTTATAGGCTGTGTGGGTCTCTTTCCGTTGTTCGGTGGTTTGTTTGTTTGAATGCATGTGTGTTTGTATACATGTATATCTTTGCTGTTACTTTATTGCATACTCTGTCATTTCCTTGTCTGTGCGCGCCGTATATATACAATTACATACGCAGGTATGTACATATTTATATATTGTGATATGCAGCTGCTGGTTTCGTTTATATTCTCTCTTTCATGCCCAGGGCAGGGCGCAACTGCCGCCATGCGCACGGCGAAGAAGAGTTGGTGCAGAAGCCGCAGTCGCCGGGTGATGCTTCCTCCACCTCGTTGCCTGTGGAGAGGGGGAGGCACAAGACCTTCCTCGTTGCTGCAAATAGAGCTAAAAAGCACTCAATAGACAATGCAGGAGCTGACGAAACGTTCAACACGCCCTCGCCAACAGCTGCAGGTAGGGAGGGGAGGAATACCCCCCAAGCAGAGAGAAAATAGCTGCTGATGCTGCTGCTGCTGCTGCATCCACCCGTGTAGGTCCGCTACCTTGCAGTGTATTGCACCTCCAGCTAACATTCTTGCTACTTTTAGCTCTGCCGCTAGTCCTTCTGCCCGAGCTGCCGTTGCTGGAACATCTACTGCTCCCGCTGCTGCTCCGTTTGCTCATGCTGCCTCTGTTTCTGCGGGTGCTTTTACTGCTGCTTCCGCTAACACAACGACATGTCTCAAAGGGGAACAGTGTGTTTGACTGCTCTTGTGAGAGGCCGGATGTTCTTGTGTGTGCCTATAGACTTTCTAGACAGCAGTGTAGGCTCCTGTGGGAGCACAGCACTCGACGGAGGCTGTAGCAGTGGGGACCTCTCAAGAAGCAGCAGAGCTGCTGCGGCTGCAGCAGTAGCAGGTGATGCTACTGCTGCAGACGGCGAGGCGGTCGAGGAGGGCGGAGATGATGCGAAAGCATTTCATCTCTCTGTGCAACGCAGACGGACACAAGCACCAAAGTCGCGGGAGCGGGTGGAGGCGAAAACTGACTCCAGCCGTGCATCGCCCGAGGATGAGAGGGATGAGACCCGCGGCCTAAGGAGGCGTCACCATGTGAAGCTGCAGCAGCAGAGCAACAATCAGCATCAGCAGGAGCAGGTACAACAGCGGGGTCAACAGCAGGAGGACAAGGAAAAGACGAAAGTGGAGGAGCTCGAATTGCAGCTCCACCAGCAGCTGCAGGGGTTCCCTACCGTTGCCAATGGTGCCGCTTTGCCCCTGTATTCGGGCGAGGGCGAAACGAAATTGGATTTGTCGTTTGCAAGCGGGTCTAACTGCCTTCAGCCATCTCCGCGTAGTGCAGCAGCAGCTGCTGCTGCTCAAGCACCTCTGTTAGGAGCCCGTGCACAGGAGGAGTTGCAGCCGTGGGGCGATTCTTGGGCAGCTTCGAGACCATTTTACCACTCGTCACCGGCAAATTGGGGGTGGCAGGACACTTGGTTCACACACCATGAGGCTGCTGCTATAGCTGCTTCTACAGCGGAGCTGTTGCCTTTCAAGGGTTTCGCCTGCGGCTCACCTGCTCCTCAAGGAATTCGAGGGCTCGGGGGAGGTGTAGATGCAGCTGAGGGTGGTACTGTTGCTGCTGTCTCTTCTGGTGGTGCTGGTGCAGCGTTCCCAGTGTCCCTGAGCATGCTACGCCTGCCGCTGAGTTGGGCGATGCCGGGGAGCCCCGTGTTCTTAGGAAATGCGGGAGAGGGGGACCTGACTTCCTTTACGGGCTGTGTATCTCACGTCGGCCTGGTGTACAGACAGTGCTGCCCTACATTGTTTCCGCAACAGTCCCTGACTTGTGGGTGGGTGGCGTGGCATCAGCAGCTGGGTCTCGTATACTTCCCGCAAGGCCCGCAGCAGTTGCTGGGGACAGTAACAGCGGCTACAGGGGACACGCATGCACTACACCAGATACACCAGATACACCAGATACACCAGATGCATCAGATGCATCAGATGCAGCAGATACAGCAGATGCAGCAGATGCAGCAGTTGCACCAGATGCAGCAGGTGCAACAACTACAACAGATGCAGCAGCAGTCCTTCGTTGACCTGAGGGGAGCATTCGGCCCATTCAGGATCGAATCCCCCCAAGTTTTCACAGATGTTTACAGAGGTCATCCCGGTTTTTGAACGATTATTGGGTTGGGTTGGTGCCAGAAGATGATAGGGGACCTCTTTTTTTTGTATCTATTGACACTCCAGGTTTGGAGGTTTTCCTGAAGGTATATGTCTGCTGTTTGTGTTTGTCAGTGTGTAGCACAGGACACCGCTGATTGCATTTCGTGACTATGTCAAATGAATAGTATACATCAAAGGGGTAATGTACCGCACAAGGTTTTGCACTTGCTGTGTGGCACCTGTACAGTTTCGAAATTCGCAACACAGCAAAATCACACGAAGCACATTTGGGTCCTACATGGCACGTACAGGGAATGCATTAGCAGCATGAAATGAGTTATGCATGTATCATTATTGACGCGTGATCGTTGTACTCGTCAATAATACCAAAGAAACGAATGCATTTAAAAAGACGGCATTTGAGCAAACGCCGAAATGTGGTGGCCGATAAGACGGCTTTCTTGGGGAGATCAAGTTCAGACGATTACAGAAGACGAACTGATTGAGTAAAGGATCCTCAAGCAGGTGCTTGGAATGCAAGTGAAGATAAACATTATGTAATTGGGAGCAATTACTGAATGTATACTACGTGTATGAACGCTTGTACACGGTGACCAGATTCGTGTGCATTAAGTGTTGAGGATATCTATCAGGTTTAAGGGCAGCAGATGGCTCCGCCGCCGAAATCCAACCCCAAGGAATGTGGAGCGCAACAGTTCATAGTTTGGTGAAGCTGTTAAGTGGAACTTGCACCTGATTTTCTGTCCACGTCGAAGGAAGGAAGGAATATCTCTCTCGTCGTTTGCGTTGTTTGCGGGAGTAAAGTTTGGGTTTTGCAGGGTGTCGCACTGCCTGTTGTGCTGAATAGTGCCTCTGCTCTTATGGTTGTTCTCAACAGTTCGTGTGCATATCATAAGACGACAGGAGTTGCAAAAAGGTTCAAGCAGGGAGTGGATCAGTTTGATGAAGCGTTCTCATTTTTACGGTGTACGGAGCTGCTCTTAACAATTGAATAAGGCAGCGTAAATCCCTTGGTATCTGCCACAGAAACACCCCATAGTTCTACCCAGAAACCCCACAGGAGTGGCATACAGCCAAAAGTGGGCCACTATACAAAACTTCAACTTTTTTGGCCGTTTGCTGATGAATGAAGTATGCTAGTGGAGGGCTGGGGAAGGGCGTTTGATGGTCTAGTTTAGCACTAGAAGAACAGGGTTAGTGCATATTGCCGCTGTTTAGAAAAACAGTTGACACAGGAAGGCAGTCATTCATAAGATTCTTCTAGTGGAACTGGAACTTGGAAATCGTGGGGATCAAGGGCCTTTTGTAGTGTTTTGGAATGAGAGGAGAGCAGAGTGGGCATTGGCCAACTGTATTAGTTAATACACTAAATGACAGTTCAAAACATCTAAATTCTGTCAGTTTTGCCTTTTAAGAGCACACAGCATGTCTACAAAAGCCTGCCAGTTGACGGTCGTGGAGGCCTTGACTGAGGACATGACGGACAACTGGTGTGACCAAACTCTGAGAAAGTTGTGGGAACGCCGTAAGCTATTTGGGGTGGCGAACGTTTTGCTAGCTTTATTTCAATATACTTCTAGAATATATTATCCTTTAAGCGCATTTAGGTGAGCTAACGACCTTTTGTTTTATGCAGTGGAGCACGACGTGGTCACCTGCAACCCTCCCCGTCCTTGGCAAGTTCAGAATACCTGGGAGCATATATGATGTATTGCTCTGTGAAAATTTGTTCAGCTTGCTATTTTGGATAAATCAGCCACGTTGTTTCAGCTATAGTTTGTTTTCTCGTACCTGTTGTATTTTTTCAACGGAAGTGCCACTCCCTCTCATCTGTTGTGCGTATACCGGTCCACTGGGCTCTTGTCTTTGGTTTCTTTCCCGCTGTATCACCATTTCCAATCACACAGTTGGGAACGGCACCTTCTTTTCGCTTCTGACAGTACGCTCCTCCGCTTGAGGAGAAATACACTAGCAAAGGATACAACGAACTGGTTGAACCAGACAGCGCATCACAGCGCCTTAGACTTGAAGACCCCATTTTAAAAAATGGCTCCTCATGGATCATACAAACTGCTCAAATGCATCGGAGAAGGAGCATATGGCCGGGCTTATCTCGCGACAGATCCGGAGGGGAAGAAGTGCGTCTTCAACGTTGTTTTAATCTTTTTGTCGGCAACGTATTCCAGTGGAATGACTCTTACTGCACAGTGCTCACAGTAGACCCATGTCACTACCTTAATTCGCTGTTTTACTCTTTCGTAGAGTCGTCGCCAAGGTTATTGACGTCGGGAAGGTCCCACAAAAGGAAAGGATCGCCTGCATCCAAGAAGTAAAAGTACGGCGTGTTATTGCCTCCCTAAATACCTTAACTGCTGTTTGTTGTGTCATAGGTGCATTCACATCTATGTATAAATGTGCCCTGTATTTTTGTTGTCCTCTTGAATACTATTAGCTAGAATGCGAGCACATACATCTACACATAAACATATATATATTGTCCTATAATTTGTGCAGGGTGATAATATGTATATATAAATGTTTGTTCAGCCGTGTGACAAATGTGAAAGCTTTATCTCCAAAACTCAAGCAGATGCGGATGCACCAATATATATAGCTACACGCGCATCCACACATACGATTGAAGTCCACTAGAAATATGCATTGAGACATACATACATATGCATGCGGCAATGCTCAGTTACTTTCGACTCTTGATCATCCATTTATCGTTCGGTATCTCGACAGTTACATCGAAGGCCAAAATCTGCACATTGTGATGAATTTCTGCGACGGTAAGGCCCTTTTATAGCAATAGGGTTTAGGTCTAATGGTACAGAGACTGGAGTGGATAAGGGTGCGTGAGACAAACACAGCAAGAGCACTTGTCACCAGGGTGGTGGTTAGCAGGCAGGCCTAGCAAGCAACAATAGAAGAAGCGTTTGTGACATATAGTTCGTCATTTGTTCCTGTAAAGGTTCGTCCCCGTTTAGCGTTCAGCGTCGGGGGCTTAAAATTAAAAATTATGGCTTTCATTTGTTTTTCTTTTTCCGTTTCCTCCGTTACTGGCATGAGGCGGTGATCTGTCGGATTTGATTCGAAAGCAAGAGGAAAGCGGCACCCCGTTTCCAGAAGCACAAATATTGAAGTGGCTGTCGCAGTTACTAATGGCAGTCAAACACATCCACCAAAACCACATCATACACCGCGGTGAGAAATTGCATTTGTGCCTGCAGACATCGTCTGCTGAGCATTTAGGTTTCATGGGTCTAGGGCTTAGGGTTTTGGTGCTTGTTTCTTTTCTGTAACACATAAATACGATGAAGCCCTATTGCCCTTATCGCAGCTGTGCAGACACCGAAAAGCAAGAATTCGAGTCACACACCCTCTAAACGACAAACCGTTAAAGCTTCAACAGCACAAATCCTAAACCATCCCAAACCCTAATACGTTTCTTCGGAATGCAGGCTGTCGTATTATCAGGTCTCTAGTTCTGTGCGGCAAAACATCATGTTTCTTCCCCTTAGTTCAAGTGTGTCTTATCGTCGGGTGTACTTCCTGTGTCTGCTGTTTCTGCTCAATCATTTCTTGATGCTGAAGCTGCTGCTTCAGCAGCTGCGTCAGCATTTGCGCTGTCCACTAGCAGGTGGAGGGTTCGCCCCCCAGCTTGTCTTGTGTGGTTCCAAATGTTCACTGCATTTTCCTGTTTATCTTCCCATATTTCCGTTTCTTTCGGCGTTTAAAATCTCACGAGGAATGCGTGTCTGTTTTATCAGCACTGTGCCTACACCCCATACAGAGGTGTTGCCTGACTAAAACGAATGCACTAAGCCGCATGCTGCTGAGCAGGCTTTAATCCCCGTGCCACCGCGTGGTTGTTCCAAGCATCCCAGGATATGCCAGCGTTTCTCGAGTGCTTCTTTGTGTTCACGTGTTGTAAGCTGATGTGTTTGCATTGGGCGGTGGTCTGTGCGTCTGGAGGGGTTTGTCCTTGCGTGTGCATCAGTGCATTTGTGCGGTGTCATTTGTTTCGCCGTTGCATCCCCTCGGCTGTACAGACATAAAGAGTCAAAACATCTTCATTGAGAAGAGTGGACGGGTCCGTTTGGCGGACTTCGGCATCAGTAAAGCTATGGAAAGCACGCTCGCGCAGGCAAAAACATTCATCGGCACTCCATATTATCTCAGTCCTGAACTGTGCGAGGTATGATATACGTGTACATGCATATATGCGTATGAAATATACTTGCATATATATACTAATTATCCGTAAACTCTATGTATATACATATACGTTGTCTACATCCCATATATACATGCATTGCACAAATGCATATTGTGTATGCATATTTAATGTATGCAAATGCATCTATTATATATGCATAAATGGCTTAGTATCCTCTTTCCACCATTCCAAGCTTTTCCTTTTCTACGCACTGTTCACGAGATAGAAAATACGAAGCAGCAAATAGGGAGCAAAGCTCCACAATAAACTCACACAAACGAACTCAGTACAAACGGAGCAGGCGACACTCTGCGGAAATTGCAGACTGCAGCAGCAGCACGGACAAGGCAGCAGCTGCAAAAGCAGCAGCAGCAGCAAAACTAGAAGCAACGCAGATGTACCCAAATGCTTGTTTTTTTTCAGGGTTCTCCCTATGGCCAAGCGTCTGACGTGTGGGCGGTGGGCTGTGTGGCATATGAACTGACTACCTTTCGAACTCCTTTTCACGAGGCCAAGAACCTCCCAGACCTTTGCTATAGGATATGCAATGCAGAGGTGAGAAGAAAGCAACTCCTGCTATCTCTTTGCCTTCCCTTTGTCTATCATGTAGGTCTTGTCCGTTTCTCTCCTTGCGTCGTCGTCATCGCTTTATCTCCTATGATATATCTGTCTGTTTGTATAGTTCTGTTGTTGTGGCCCGGGTGTCGGTTCCTTGTCTCCTGCTGGAGCGTTTTGCCGTTGCTGTAATCTAGGGTATATATAGTCTCCTCATGTCTCTTATTGTTTGTGATATAGTAACAGAGGGGGACGGATAAAAGGAAATGCTGACTGCCAATTAAATGTATCCTCTGCTTCTTGCACTGTTCCCCTATGTCTACCGTACACTACAGATATTATTTTTTGCCGCTGGCTGATACAGCTGTGCTCTCAACCTTTGTCTTTTGCTTGCTCGCTTGCCACCCACACGCCTACACCGCAGTGCTTGTTGTAATATGTTGGGTATGCGTACCCTCCAGTGTACTTGGTTTCCCTCATTTGAATTTGCAGATTTCACCAATTCCTTCTATTTACTCTGTAGAACTGAGCCGCATCATAAAATCCATGCTGCGCAGATGTCCCGAAAAAAGAGCGACCGCCGCTGAAATCCTCTCAACGCCTCTCATGCAGGTGCCTGTACACCCTAAAACCCAGACCCTAAATCCTAAACACCTGTTCCGTAACCCTGACTGCATGCAACCAATCATTTGGCCTATGCTAGTAACTCACATCATTCTGCACTGATACTCCTAAAACCAGAAAACAGTGACAACGGGGACTTTTTTAAACCCTAAGCCATTCAAAAAAAAATGTTTGCGCTCTCAGGCAGCCATAAAGGAAATGGTTGAGGATTCAAGAAAACACCGTCCCACCAGTTAGACTCTTCAGTGCCCCTCTCGCTCCCCCCTTGCTTGTATTTTCCGTGTCTCTTTTTCGTGTCGTGGATTCTCCTAGCTGGCGTCCGTGCCCTGGCTCTCTGTTGTCTGTCCTGATCCCCTTTTCGTTCCGCCTCCATTCTCTTTGTTCTCCCTCCTCGTGCTCTGTTGTGGGTTCTCTGTTTTGCGTTTCCTGACACTGGCTCGCTTGCTTCTCTGTCGTTCTGCTTGCTTCTGCGTATATTCATCTATTTCCTTACTCTCCTGGTCCCTCCCCATTTTCGGTAGCTCTTCGCCGTTGTAATTTCCTTTCCTCGTCCTCGTCCTCTATTTTCCGTCTCCTTGAGGCACCTTAAGTCTAGATAAGCCTTCAGCCTCGCCCTACTGCCGTTGTGCAGTGCGTCGGCTTACAGTTGCCAAACAAAATGTTCTACGTCTCTTGAACAATTTATCAACAGAGAGCAGCAGCAGTCAGCATGAGGTATCACTCGGAAGCAACCGAAGAAGCGCCATTCAGGAAGCGCGTCCCGTTTAACACAGGAATCAGCATTTGAGTCAAATAGAAACAGAGACAAAAATACACACAAAGAAAAGGGACAAAAAAAGCTACACGATACTCAGCGCAGCAGTACACAGAATGCCGTCTCCTTCCACAGGTCGGTCTGCACCGTCAACAACCTGCAATATTAGGTGTGCATACACCGCACCAACGCGCACACAGAAGAGCGCACGCACAAACAGGAGATGGATTCTTGATAATTGTACAGCGCTGCAGCTGTAAATCCGAGGGAGGCTGCAGGAGGTCTCACCTTGAGTCAGGAGAGGCAACGCTTGCGAAGATTAGCGAAGGCTTTTTCCCGGCAGTCTCTGCAGCTCGACAGAGACTGCGCACTGCCCAAGAGTTAAGGTGTGGAGGCAGCAGCAGCGAAGTTGCTAATAAGCCGCCGCTCTCCACAAGTGATGCTGCTGCAGTCCACTGTGACTCAATGCCACGTAAAGACGGCCGGAACCAACGTCCAAACTGCCCGCCTCGTTCGGCAGCAGAGAAGAGCACATTGGGGTTCAGGTGTACGTACACCCCGCGGAACCTGCCAACATTCACATAGTGTGCACGCGGCTGCTGCTTGTGCATGCAAACCAGCAACAACCAAGGCAAATTCGGACCCCTCTACAGCCCGTAGAAGTCTTTCTGGTTCCTTGGTAAATGTCCGTCTGCAGCTTATTAAATGCATGCGAGGTATTAAATTTCATCGACAGTCGGTCCACTGTTGTTCTCGGACGAGGTGCCCACCTGAGTGCAGAGGCCTTGAAGTTTGCCATCTCTTGGAGAACATCTTCGGTGTGAATGCAGGAGACAGCCGAGGAGAGGTCGTTTGCAGCTGCTGCCTTCTCGTTGAGTGTATGCACAGTCTGGGACGTTTCGAGTAGCACAAGACTGGCGGCACCTTCTAGCTGTGCCTTGGAGATATTGTTTTGTACCTTTCCTTCGGTTCTACCTCCCGCATCTTGTCTTGAGTGCTCCTTGAGCTGGGGGAAGGGGTTGCTGCTGCAGCAGCAAATCCCGATCCCCTTTGAAGATCCATTCACCGACAGCAGAGTCGCGCCCGCGCAGTGTCTGCGCAGCAGCGGCAAAAGCTGCAGACTATGGTTAGAAAATGCAGCAAATGGAGGAAAAGACAAATGTACCGGCTGAGACAGACCCCAAGCAGAAATCCAAGCGATGGGATCCGATCCCACCACAAGTTCGCTGACGTACTCCGCCCCTCCCTGACAAGCAGACACATCCACAAAATACTGTTAAAAGACGTCAAACAAATAGTTGCACCAACCACTGTCAAATCCGTGAAGCATTGATCAGATAGTTTATACGCATAATGGACTCATACATGAATGCACCTGCAGACGAACGCCCAAACAAACCGACGCAACGCTGAAACGTGAATGGCATGCACCGCTTAACTTTGCGACACACCAGCTAATATACCAGCATTTGCATGCCTATTCAAGCGCACACTGATGTGCCGCATAGTAGAAAACAGAAGGTAGGAGAAACCTACACTCTACACAACACCAATTGGAACTGACACGCCACAGACAGGGACGGGCAAAAGCGCGAACGGCAAAAGGCAAAGACACACAAATAGACGAAGATAAAGGGAAATGTACGCAGCGATATTCTGGCGAAAACAGCCAAATGTCGGCACAGGGACTGCAGCAAAAAGCTGGGGGGATGCAACAGCAACGAGGCGCAGTCAAAGGGACACTCGTCTTGGAACATGATGCAAGCGGCAACAGCAAGACAAAGACAGAAACATGTGGCCTGACTTGTGCACATTTTTCCTTCTTTGACTTGAGGGTCTGCAAAGAAAGAGTACTTGGGTCAACTGCCTCCTTTATCAAATCAACAAAGGCGTCCTTATATGGCAACATCGACTGGGAAGACAGCCGGAGCACTGCAGCCTGGAAAGAAGACGAAAAACGCAAGACAAGTAGACACAAAAGAGGAACAATTCACCAAAACAAGCCAACTTGAAACGAATACAAAAACCAGACAAATTAGCATCGACTAGCATCATTCACTATAGCGCATAATACACACATAAAAAGCCTAAAAATACAACAAAGATGCAGACGGCCAGCGACGAGCAAAATCACCAGCAAAAGCAGCGTAAATGGATTTCCATCACCGGCATACAGCAGCCTCAAGCAGCACGAGTAGTACATGAACTGCACCAACCGATTCATAGACATCGAGTTCAACCCCTGGAAGTCCATCTGCCTCCCCATCCACCGCGCGCCATACATTCGGCAACCCTGTGCTGTTGCCGTTCCTAGTGCTGCTACTGTGAGTGCTGCTGCCAACGTTGGTGCTGTCTACAGGTCTCGACTGCCGTGCATAACGCAGGCGTCGCTGTTGGAGTGCAGCACGAAAGCGGTCGCACAAAAGCTCGCTAGTGCGGCCTTCACTCGGAGCGTCGACGGCGCTGCTGCGACTGCTGCTGCTGCCATTGCGGCCGTTGCTGCTGTTGGTGCTACGAGTAACCATTCGGACTGCCACTGACGCCTGTCTGCTGAAAAGACCAGAGCCAAGGTACGTTCCTGAATGCCAGAATGAAGGCAAACGCAATTTACTTGGCATGTATGCATGGACTCTCTCCGCCGCTCCCACCCACAACCGGAGCCAGTGCAGCAGTATGTGCCTAGTCAACCGGGAGAGCAGCAGCAAGTGCCGCACCGGTTGTGAGGGTCGCAGCTGCATGTGTCGTAGCAACAGCACTAGAACAAGCCGTGGTGTATGTGCCCTTCAGTTTGGGCATGGTTCTGGGTCCCTTTGCCTCACCATCGTCGTCATAGACAGGCAACAATTTTCCTGTTTGCAACTTGCTGAAATATTTGATGTTTTCAACTTCGAAGTCGAAGATCCACGGATGCCCAAGACGAACCAAACGACGCCTTTGAATGCCTCCCGGTGTTGTTTCAGAGGGTTTCAAGAGAATGCATGCGTTACTGCTGCGAGCAGCAGCAAAAACCGGGGCGTGTGCTCCTGCCGTCTCTTTGGCGGCTGTCCCCTGCTGCTGCCCGACCCACTGTTCCTCGCATCCTATGTGCTGCTTCTGCTCAGCCCCCGCGGCAACAGCAGCAGCACACAGGGACCGCAACGGCGAATGCAGAGACAAAGGAGAGGCGATGCAAGCTTTAAAGGGAGCATAAGGCAACTGTCGAAGCCCTAAACACTCCAGAGTGGCGCAAGAGGACCTTAACCGGAAGGGGCGGAGGACCCAAAGATCTGCGGCATTCTTGCTACAGAAACCACCGGCAAATCGCCTTATATACAAGGCACTAGCCGAACCATCTGGGCCGTTGCTGGTGCCGCTAGGTCTGCTGTTGCTGCTGTTGCCATATGAATTGAGGTTGCCGTCTCTACGGTTGCTGCTGCAACTACTGGTGCCGCCAATACAGCAGCTGCGGCTGCTATTTGATCTGCTCCGGAAAGAAGAGCTGCTACTACTGCTGTTGCTGCTCCCGTTCGTTGGTGCAAATGAACCTTCGTAGGGGAGGCGCCGCAGTGAGGGCCCTTGAGTTGTGAATTCTGTGATAAGCGCCTCTGGGAGAAGCCGAGAGGCTTTGTGTGGCATCGCCAACAGTTGAATCGAATACAATTTACCTCTCTGTTGCGGCACAGCCCTCACGTATTTGCTTGTGCTGTATTAGCTTGCACTGGTATTTCTAGTTTTTTCCCCAATGAGGAAGCCTACAGCGAAAGAAGGCGAAATGAGGGCACTAAAAGGGAGTGGAGGATGCAAGAAGAGTCTAAAAATGAAGGGGAAAATCAAACTGCAGAAGGCAGTCCGTATGGAGAGTGCCGGAGGCAACGAAACTTAGAACACACTATGCAGAAACATCGTTACCTCAGGAATGTATTAGCAAAACAACTTACAAGTAAAGCAAACATTTTAAGCAGCCGGGTACCGCTGTAAAAATATCTTGCTGCTTTGCTTGAAAGGGCCCCCGCCACAGTTCAACAGCTGCCATCAAGCTGCATGCACTCAGCTGCTCCTAGAGCCCTCACCGCAGTAGTTGAGGTAGCATCGAACATGTGTGGTGCCTTCTGAACACATGTTGGGGGTCATAATATCTACTACACACTCTTTTTTGCATTTCATTGCATGCAAGGCGTGAACTGTAGCAGCCGGTGTCCGGCGGCCCTTGTCTGCGGCGCGAGGGAGCGAAAGAGTGATCAACAGCACATATTTCTGCGTTTCGGCAATAAAAACTATGCAATTTTACCCAAGAGCGCCGAATCAATTGCATCTTGGTAGGTAGACTTCTCGTCGGTCTCAGTATTCAGTGGACGCATTTTATCTACGCGACATTCAGCTGAGGCTCTGACTTTTGTATCTTGTCGCTCGCTCAAATATATTAAGTCGCCGCATTTTTGCCAATACTTTGCTGAAGACGCACATTGCCTGCCGCCTGGTTTAGGTTTCGCGTCGTTCTTCTGACCCTCCAGCTGTGCTTCCGTCATAATGTCGGACACAAGCGATGACGAGGTTCCCCTGAAACAAAGGGTCGCAAAAAAGAAGACAACACCGAAGAAGAAACCTGCAGTGGTGAGGATCAATGCACTGCCAATTTGTATCCTTTTAGGTGGCTTAACGGAAAACTGCCCGTGCCGCGTGGCGCTGTACTTCAAGTTTTCTTCAGCTGGGTTCCCCCAGTTCGAAGTAATTTGTTTGCAGTGCATGAGACTAGCAGAGCAGAAGCTGCTTCGTCGAATTTTAGCTCTCGAATTCGGTACCATATCAGGGCTCTACAGCACCGGTTCATGGTTGCATGGGCTGCCTGTTGTCTTCTGGTTGTGGATGCCCTGCAGAAGGAGAAAGCGCCGCAAGCTGCAAAGAAAAAGGAACCAAAGAAGCCCAAGGCGTCGCCGAAGGCAAAGGCGGCCCCCCGGGCGCCTCGCAAAAAGGGGCAGGCCGAGGGAAATGCGGAGGAAGAGGAGAACTTGCTGCCGAACGACGCAAGGAAGTACTTCAAGCAGGGGCAAAAGTTCATTACTCCACCAAACGTAAGAACAAGCGACGTAGGGATGGTTTTGGCATCACCACGTGCAGATAGAGGCAGCACATATGGCTTTACGGAAAAACACAAACAATCTAGATGGCTATCGTCTTTATAAAATCCATTTTTGCCTCTCCTCCACGACATTTTAACACTTTTCCCATGCAATACTTTAGAGGAGCCCATTGCCACGACGCGTTTGGCGAGGAATCCAAATATATATGAATGGCTACGCGCGACGAGATAGAATTTGCCTTGTCTCCTATACCTGCTCTCAGGGAGACGGAACGAGGGGGTTCTACGAAAGTTTATATGAAGAGAATAAAAACAGCCTTGTAGCACTCCGGTGCGTGTTATATTGCTAAGCCCTTTGGGGGCTTGCGGGTTTGCAATTTGCATACAGGGTGTACTGAGAAGATGCGCCACTTTGATGTACTGTTTATTTTTCTGTTTTGCTGAGGTGAATACATGCGTACAGGTACTTAGTCGAATGGGGAGTACTGACAGGGACGCTGTTGCACGAATCTTTGCCTCGGTATTTTGCCTTGAAAGAGAAGGGGGCATTCAAGGGTGCAGGCGGAGGGCTGCAGAAAGCATTCATGAACGGCCCCGACGACGCGGATATCAACGCAGCTGCCAAGATGCTGAATGTGAGCTTCTGCATGCACCCAGACGATGAGAAACTACAAACCCAGAAAAATGTTGCACATCAGGGCTGAGGAGCGAGCCAGCCAGAACAGACAGCAAAGCAGCGCCCCTTCAAACGAGGGTGGGCAACGACCTGGCCTGCTCCCCACTGTGTTCTTAGTGACCGCCCATGTTGCCTGTCGAAGAGATATTATGTCTGCGCCGTGCATTCAGGCTAACAGTGGGAGCTTGCAGTAGGAGGACAGGTTACTGCCGCCTGCGGGGCCAGAGTGTGGTGACATCACCGAAAGGGGATTGGCAATGCTGCTGACTTCAAGGAGGAGGCTTGCTAGTGTTGCATGTGTGTATATGCGTTTTAAAGCTGTTATTTGAACACGCAGTTGCAGATACTCCCACGGTCCGTGATTGTGAGTGCACTGGTAGGCCATAGATGCTTGCCTCCTTCAAGGCACACCACATCGGCAGCGATGAGGCAAGCACCTTCCGAACGGTTGGATATTGGAGCTTTAGTGTATTTTCTTGTGGTATGCAGTGCCGCCTGCTGGGCGTTGGAAGCTAACACCACATGCACGCAACGGTTGTTTTTGTATTTTGCATATTCTTGACCTGATGGCCAGCCATGTGCATGTTACTCTTGGGTGTTGAGTGGTTGTTATGGACGTCACGGGTGCTAGAGATCTAAAGAGGCGATGGAATTTGTTGAATATAATTTACGCCGTTCGATTCCCCCTGGCGCCTGACACTGCTCAGCAGCCACGGGAGTCTCGACAAAACAAAACGTACTAGAACGACACAATACAAAAGCACAGCCGACCCACTGGGTACCGCATGAGCAAGAGGGCAAGACAATGCGTGCGACTAGAGCCCGAGCGTCCTGCGGTGTACGTACACCCAAGCCTTCGGCTCGGGGGCAGGTAACGCTTCCCAGCTCTAAGATAAAATAAACTGGGCAGGGAGGTCTCAAAAGCGCCGGCCGTATCTCCTAGGCCCATATATACAGGTATATATATAGTCAGTCTAAACAAAACAGACGAAACTAAATTACTCTACCCCCAAAACCACACACCACTGGAGAAGCCTGCGTACGCAGCTGCCCCATATTGTGGCCTCGCCCTCCGCACAACCGCCCGAAATACGCACCGCCTGGTGGTGTGATAACAGATGACGGAGAGGTGCTGCTGAAGCGATTTATGTTCGGTATTATGCCTCAGCCTCTGTTCGACTCTGTACAGTCTAAACAAATCGGCGGAGAGTAAAAAGCACAGGCCCGTTTAGCCCTGTGCAGGTAGCCCCAGCGGGGCCGCTGCAGGAGTCATGTGCTCTGTTCCTGCTTCGTGGAGATTCCCCAGCGCCGAGAGCCATCTGCCCCTTCTGGTCACCTCGCATTGTCAATGTTTGAAGCTCCTGTTCGCCCCGAGGCAAATAGAACAACAGCTCAATCGCGAGTCCCAGCGCTGTATACCATCTACCCTTACAAACATCTCCATTCCGCCTCACACAGCACAAGCCAAGTCTAGTTATCAGACAAGTTCGCAGTGTACGGACACCTCAAACCTGCCACTGCTACCAACAGAAATCTACAATGCCCAACACTACTGCGTTTCACGCAGCTCAAAGGAGACAACTCAGGGCACCTGCTCCCGAAGGAACAACGTGCTGAATCGTAATGTGCATTTGCACGTTAAAAATTCCTTGCATTGTAAAATGTATGCAAATGACTTCCGACAGAAGAGGCATGCAGTCATCGCCTTTCACTTCGTCTTGGTCGTCGTCGCCTGCATCCGTGGCGTCTTCTTGTTATGTTGATCGTCAGGGAGCATCTCAACTGTGGTTTGAACAAGCGCCCTGACGAATGCATGCATGAGCTCCTTTGAGTATGCTGCAGTTGCTGTGATGCGCAATCTTGGTCTAAGGAGGGGGCAAGCGGGGAAGGCGGCAGCGGCGCAGTAGAAGCCCTTGTCAAGCAGGCATGTGGTGATGCGGAACATGCGCTGGGGGCTGTTGGGAAAGACGACGGGAATGACAGTTGTGCAGGACATGCCTTCGACTTCGTATTTAAGCTCTTCAGGGTAGTCTGCCGGCCAGTGTCCGTCTCCCGTCTCAATAAGGTGCCGCAAGTATCGCGCGTTCTCCTGGGCCTTCTGAATACGCCACTGCTGTGTTCCTGTCATAAGTTCAAACGCCTTAAGCGCCCCTCCAGCCGAGTATGCAGTCAGTGAGGCAGAGAAGACAGAACCCGGCGCGTGGAAATCCATGAAGTCTACGAGGGGCCTCTTACAGGTGATGAAACCCCCAACTCCCCCTATAGACTTGGAAAACGTGCCGCACAATACCTCGCAAGCGCCAGGCATGTTGAAGTACTCCTCCAGGCCTCTGCCCGTCGCACCCAATATCCCTAGCCCATGCGCCTCGTCGCAAATAATCTTCGCGTTGAACGAATCAGCGAGAGAGCGGACAACCGGTAGATCAGCAATATCGCCTTCCATCGAATACACGCTCTCAATTACGATCCAGCAGTTCCTGGCCTTGCTGCGCTCCTTCTGCAGCAGCCGCTTGAGGTGGGCGTAGTTGTTATGCTTGAAAAAGAGATACCGCGCGCCGCTAATGCACATGCCTGTCCTGAGAGACGCGTGCGCCCGGTTGTCTGCTACAATCAAATCTCCCTTCTTAGACACCGCCGCCACTGCGCTCATCGTCGCCAGAAAACCCGTAGCACACAGCAACGCGTCGTCGCGTCCGTAATACCGAGCAACCGCTCGCTCTAAGTCCCTCAAAATTGTTGAATTGCCACCCAACATCCGCGCCCCGTGCGAACCAGTGGACCACTCACGAGCTGCTGCAATCGCCGCCTCCTGCACCTGCAGACCCACAGAAAGAACGCAAACACCCACTAGACACGCATACACTGAGGACAACGCAGAAAACAGACAAACAGGCAACCAGGCAGCAAGGAACGACAAATAACCGAGGGTCTGACGACAATAGCAACCAGCCACTTGTGAGCAAGCGCGCCTCAGGCCCGTCGTACTTAAAAAATGTACTGGAAAAGGGGGCAAGTAACGGTCCTCCACAGTAAAGCAAACTGCATTGGCAAAACCTGTCAAATGCAGTCGTTCACAGCCACTGAAGTGTACGTGGGGAGAACTGCTCTGAGTGTGTCCGTGTGAAAAACGCACTTGGGGTTCTCGAATAAAGTCGAGGTAGCTGTACGAGCTCATCGGGTAAGCCTTTTTGTTCCCTGCGCAAGTGACTTGATCGCTCTTAACGTCTGATATCTCCACCATGAAGGGCCACCTGTTATCCTCCTGGAGTGCTTTCTTGGCCTCTACGTAAGTTGAAACCTCGGATTCACCCGGGCGCACTTCAATGCCGAGCTTAATCTTCTGAGCCATGTAAAAGAGATGGCGGGTGCCCTCGGCGAATCGCCGCACGTACAGCACGCGCGCGTAGAAGGCGACGTTGTCCCGGAACCTGCTCACGGTGTCGGAGATCAGTTCTGACAATCGACCCTCCTCCACAGCCTCCATCAGCGGCTGCACGATTGTCTTGAGCCGTTGCGCTGCCTTCTGCTCCGCCAGCTTGTTCAGCATTTGCTGCACGTCGGTAAGGCCGCCTGCCCCCATGCCCGGCTGAGAGCGCGGGCGCGGCAGAAGTTGCGTGGCGATCCACGAGACGCGAAGAGAGTCGCTGGAGGCATCCTCTGTGAAGGAAGCGAGAAGAAACCCCACGAGGAGAATAAACAACAGTGCACAGTGCAAAATATCCACGGAAGCAAACAGCGACTCGTAGCCCAGCCACTGCTCCGTCCCTATGAACTCCTCCCCCCGGGGCACCCAAGAGCTCGCCAGAGACATGATGGCTTCAACGGGATGATTTCCGAAGTTCGCAAGCAGCGTATGCTTCCGAAAGCTGCAAAGAAGCCGCCACCGAGAGGCAGGGCTCACGGACCAATGCTCAGCGACGCCAGTTCTACGCAGGCCTCCTCAGTTCTCGCAACAGCTATATGCTACTTTCAAGCATAAAGAAGTGATGAGCACTTCGGACTCTGCCGATCACCGAATCCCGTGGCGGGTCCCTCCCACCGTCCGCCTGGGAGGGGCTGCTGGGCTCGGAGAGTCAGAGGGTAAAAGAGTGTAGATGTCAAGCTACCTCGCTTATTGAAACATAAATCGACACCCAAAACTCGAAGAAAAAAGTCCATCAAGCAGAAGAAAGCTACAGCTGCGGGACATGCAGCAGTTGCACCCGCAGGCTCCCCCTCTCGTACAGCATGAGCAGGTCTGTGGGCTATTACACCGTAAAACCCGAGAGGGAGAACACCTCACTCCCCTACTGTTGCGAATTCCGTTTCTACTCCATTATCTTCCTTTTCCGCCAGATGCCGTTTCCCCGCAAACCACAGACCGCTACAGGTGCTGCTGGGTACCACCGGCGTAGGGCTACTGCGCGGCTGCAGCGCGATTACAAGGGCTGTGTGGTGATTCCTGCTCTTTGACAAAGCCAGCGACAGACGCGGTCAATAGCTGTAATTCTGTAAAAAGACAAACAAAACTCACTACTTGACAGCACAAGGACAGCTAGTTTGATCTCCACGGATCGCCTTCTGGCGCTAGCCACAATCCCCAGCGTGTTTGGATTGCGATGAATACTCGACCTCAGCTGGCAAACAACTGTTAGGTGCAGCACAGCAAAAATAGCCAAGATACACATTCCCAAATGCAACTGTCCTCTCCTCCAATCTCCAGGCCACCTGGGCATTATGGCTCAAGGGCCTTTTGCCTCAGTGTGTTATGCGGGAATTGGGAAGTGCCTTACACGGTCTCATCGGAGGCGAAAAGTGTCTTCATATCTTATGCGGCATTACCCTCTGTGTTCACAGTGATAGTCAATTCTGACACATCTGAAGAAGAGCTTTAAAGTCTAGGACAATAGTTGGATCGTTAGGTGGCTTTGCTGGCCCGCGCAATACGGTTTCACGTTGAAATATATCAATAGCACCGACAACGTAATCGCCAAGGCATTTCTGCAATGCTCTACCAGTCAGTCACTGTGATGTGCAACGGAGTCTGCGTGTGGTAACAGCCATTTCGTTTCGAAATTACGTTCATCGTGCTCCGTAGATAAGCATGCTGCTGCATTTGTCGCTAAGCTCAAAAATTGGCAACGACAGAAGCACTACAGCGACAAAGAAGATCTCTTGTGGTACCAGACAAAGTAGGGAATTTTCCGATTGTATGTTCCAACTTCCTTTCGCTCAGCAGTTCGACGGAAAATGTACAAGGTCCACGATAGGGTCAACACCGCAATGGACCGAATAAAATCGCAATTTTGCATAGCATGCACTCCTTAAAAAAGGCATACATCATGACGTGTCCAGAATCTCATAATCAACAGCCAAGGGACACCGTCTATCCGGCAGTGTTGCAGAGCCTCCCAGTCCCACAACAGATTTGGGCGGGCATGGCAACGGATGTCGTAGTGGGGTTACCAGCAGTTGGGGTTTAGGATATAATCTACATCGTAGTGGCTGGGCTCAGCAACTATGCCCATTTCACCCCCTGTGACCACTTCAAACTATATAGAACAAGGTGGGCAAGGCGATCACGCCAACAGCTTGCTTTTTTGACTATACCCAGCACACTTGAGGAATAATTTTCTCCATTGTTCGGAATGGGCTTACAATCCAGCAGTGCATTTCCCCACTCCCCGCTATCCAGCATCCATTGCTCTATGCCAACACACCGTTGGGTAATGGGATGTTAGATCTGACGCCCTGGAGCTAGCCCCATACATCCGTACCTTCAGAATTCCTGATGCAACTTGCTGCAGCACGGGAATGCATGAAGAAGGCACGGGAACGCCAACCTAAGCACTTACTCAGGGGCGTTCAACAGTTTCTTTCAAGACAGGAGACTTCATTTTGGTTTCCGCCCTCCGAAGTTCGCACGAGGGGGAGCAGCCGACGAAGTTCGCTGTACGTTCGGTCGGCTACTTTGCTGGTAGAGATCGGTTTAACGCCTAGGCCTACATCGTTCATTTACCCTCAACCACGATATATGCCGTCGTAGAATTAAGATTGATGTTCCCTACTGGTCGAGGAAACCACCGAGATACCCCGAGCTTAATCCAGAAAGAGGCAGCATAATCGTGGTCCGAAGCCACTACTGGAGGAGTGTTAGAGCCAAACATTCCTGTAACAGTCCGCATAGCCAAAACTAAGCAAGAGTATGACTAAAAAGACCAGGCAAAGCGCTACCGTTCTCCGGATTAGTTTTCGATGATAGTGTCTGAGCAGGAAACCCTCTTGAATATCTAAGGGCACGCCAAGATCCGCTGGCAACTACTGCCAGCATGGACTTCAATAGCCTGGCTTAAGGTTCCATCTCATGTAATAACCTGGGCTATTTCCGTTTTTTCGAATGTTGTTCTCCAAAAAGTTCTCAGTCATGCGCTCGAATGTGTCACGTATTGCTACTGTGTGATATACTTGAGTACCCTATAGGAAGCCTGTTGTCAACCCTGGGTACAAAAGCCCTTCTCCTTTGGAGAAAGCGACATTATTGCCGGCGCCTCCAAGAAACATGATTTACTCAAACAAAACAAGATTACGTTCTATACACGGTTTTTGAAGTGGTTGAAGTTGGGAAAGCAACTGGCGAAGTCAACTGCCAAAGATAAGAGCACGACGGAATAAAACTTGTTTTGCCCATCCGGGAGCGGTCTTCAGCACTTCTGCCGCAACACCATGCGCTAGCTGCTGAAGGCGGTGCTAGGCGGCATGAAGTGAACGGAGCCGCCGATGCGGCCGAAGGTTGCCTGAGCTGCGCTGCAGAATGAAGGAATTACCAGTCAATGTGGCAATTTCTCTTTTCGAAACCGGCACCGGATGGCGTGTGCTGCTTGCTCGAATCGGTGCATGGTGTTTCTAATGTTGGAAAACTTGCCTAAAGTTGGTGTATGAAGCGTTATGCGGCCCTAGTAAACAAATGGAGTGCAAGCAGAAATTCTCTGCACTGGCCTAGCATGCTCATGCATACATCCACGAATGCTTGTTTGTGCCCGTATGTGGGACTGGCTTCGATAGTGAGTTGCAGCAAGTTAAGCCACACTGGCGGGTCGCCTCCTCTTCCGCATTTCCAGGCGTTTGTGCCGCTGCTCTAACGACTCACGGGGACTAGGGCAGGAAGTCAGCTGATTTTAAGGAAGTAGTGCCTTAAGCGTCTTGCCGCTATTGAAGCCAAAGAGAGTCCTCCAGGAAGATCCAGGGGGAGAGTTAAATTCGATTAACGGAGTGGGGTTATTAAGCAACGGCAGCGCCACAGCGGTAGCTAATAGATGGTCTAGAGTTCGGACAATATACCAGATCCAATTGAATATGAAATTACATTGGAAAGGGAGCGTTTTTAGATGACTGTAGAGTTTTTGATATGTATTTCTTCTAAGAGTACACCGTTGAGGCTGGTAATGCCGGTTGAACACATAGCAACGCGGTTGCTGGAAAGGAGAGGGTTTATTATAGTGAGAGGTGACAACGCCTTTCAGTAACGCATTTCTTCCTTTTCTACACTTACCAGCCAATTTTATTCGCGATTACACACATCCTTATTGCAGTAATCTTATCTGCTGCGGGGTTAATTCCCTCTGCACTAATGGTGTATCCCAAGTATGTAAATTCCTGTTTGGCAAATTTACACTCTCGAACCTTGGATAAATTTGATGTTATACTAAGATTCCTAACACTTGTCGGAGCAAAGCCACATGACTGGGTAGATCGAGGCTGTAGATAAGGATGTCGTCTAGATATGCGATAGCTGCTTGGCCCAATAGCGGTTGTAAATAGGTATTAATATTTGCCTGAAAGATAGTTGGTGCGCCCTTAAGACCAAAAGGCATAACCTTGTATTCGAATAAACCTAGTACCGAACGGAAGGCTGTTTTCCACCTGTCTTCCCTTGACATGCGGATATAATGGAAGCCAGATTCCAGGTCCAGAGTTGTAAACAATTTGGTTCCCCCTAACATCTAAGTATAGTGAGAACCGAAGGGCGGTAAAATCGGGGGCAATAGTGGGTGCGTTTACCTCTCGATAATTCACAACCTTCCGCATCTTGTGTTCACCTGTCCCTTCATTTTGATTATTGACGATGATTGTGGGAGCACCTACATATAGGTGAATATGTAGGTCTGATCCAATCATTAGCCGATAATTTAACTATTTCCTGTTTGTGTGCTAGGAGCTGTTCGGGTGTCATACGATATATACTAGCCTTAGAGGGCAACTTCCCTGTCATTAGTAGGATCCTGTGATCGTATGAGCGCTTCAGTAGCAGTCCTGCAAGAAGCTTATGGGGGAATATTGCATGATAATCCTGCAGTTCATCTAGGATCTGATAAGGAATTGCCCTTGCAATCTCTGACTCCATCCATTCATCAAAGTAAGTATGTTCTAAGGAGGCTGTTGGCCAAGGGGATTCTTCCACGTCGTTCATTAGCTCACTAGTTGCCGGGACTCCTGTAAGTGCCTGCCTGGCAGAAGTTGGTGAGGTCTCAAAGAAAGCACAACAGAGAGTCCCCTGTCCCTCATTTGTCGACTTTTGGCCCTCCGGAAGAGCAAGTATGTTGGACATCCCATGTAGCGGGTGTGGTAATTCATCTGTGTTTTCCTTAGCTTGTTGTAGTAATGTGTTTATTTCCACCTTGTTCCTCGCCCGAGGGGGTGTTCTGTACCTCTTGGGGGGTGGATGTAGAAGTGCCCTCGCCTCATCCAGTGACATATCTGCTATCTGTTTTGCAAGTATATCATAAGCTTGCTCCGCTGGGGTCCGCAGATGTGCTGCTTGTTTTCTCGGTACGAGCTAGGGTTGGATAGCACAATCTCCCATCTGCATATGCACGTAATTTTTCAGAGTGGAAGGACCAAATCGTGTGGTACATGCCATACTAAGAAGTCTCCGCACAATTGCACATCCCCCACCACATTATTATTCCCTTTGCTACTCGATCAATCCGTAATTGCTCACCGTTGGCCACTGAGAAAATGCACTCCTATCCTAGCCGTCGTACTTTTAGCTGTAGATTATCCACAGTCCTAGGGTTGATAAAAGTCCTGGATGCTCCTGAATCTAATAGAGCCTCGCATTCACTTCCTGCCACATTGACCTCTATAGTGGCAATCGTTCGTGCATTACACAATATTCCTCTAACACGGGAGACGGCCCCGCTGCCTCTACACCACTGTGACTCTCTATCGTACACATCGGGTGCATCATTTTCTTGCTTTCCACTGGGCTTGGGCTCCTCTTCTGGGAGCCCAAGCCCCGTATAATCCACCGATATTATATTATATTATATAATCCATAGATTACATCGCTCTACTAATGCCTGCTGGGGCTTCCCTGCTAACTTCCCTTCTGTTCCCGCTTGCTTATCCTTTTACAACAACCTTTCCCAATCTGGGGAGACTACTATGGTGTTAGGTCCTGTTGCTACTGCGCACATAGTTCCCTTACCATCAGAATGTCGCCTAGTGCATGCGTATCCCTGGACGAGTAGGCTCGATCGTTTAAACGTCTCCTGTCCCTGACATTAGAACGTGTCTGTCTCTCTTCGGGCCTCGTTGCTGACGGCTCTCATAGTCCCCGGGGAAGGCTAGTCCCGGGCATAATGCCCTACAACCCCACATTTCCGGCACATCTCCCCTGTGCGACTTAAAGCCTCGTGGCGAGAGGGGCATTGCGAGGCTATATGCCCCCTTCCCCTGCACTCGAAACAAGCATTTTCCCTGGATACTCGCCAGTCCGGTAGGTTTCCTATTTCACTATTTCGTGGGTCCGTAGGGGACCCACCACGACTATGCCGATGTGTTTCCTCCAAATATTGCGTACTTTGCCTTAGCTGTTTCAATGTCTCATCTCTAGACCCTACAATCCTTTCCACCTCTGTAGCCGCTTCTTCCCAAGTTGTGAATTTGACACGGCCTTGACTTGCCACCCTCAGTACGAAGTCGTCAGGCAGGTTTGCTGCATCTTGTTGCTCCTGCGGTAAGGGTTCTTCTTTACATAGTACTGCTGAAAAGTCGGAGGCATACTTTACTGCACTTCCCTTCCATCTGAGACTGCGTCTTCTCGTGGGACCCAGCAGAATCTAGTTAGCATAGAATGTTTGAGAGCTTCCCAATTGTTGACGGTTTCCCGACTATCCATAGGTAGAAATAGTAATTTAATGCTTCTCCGGTCAAATATGTGCACAGTTATTGGCCCCAGTTTTCCGTGGGTATTCCGGTCTCGAAAAACACCAACTCCATGGCGAAGGAAGCACATTATATTCCCACCAGCCTCATGTGGAATATTGAGGTTAACGGTACTAAGGTAATCCCTCGGGTTTGACACCCCCAGGTGATTATCTAATGAAGTCCGCATTGGAATTCTCGCGCCGGCGTTCGACCCCATTGTCCTTCCCACACGGTTTGCACGTGTATATTGGCACAATCAAGATCTGTCTTGTGTTGCCTGGCTTTTCAATTGTGCTGAGTCTGATTCTTATTATACATTCCACTATAGAGAAGAGGTCACTGGGTTGGAACAGCCCCCAAATGTAGTGCGCAGGCGTCCCAATCATGTCCTGCCATGCTTCTTAAGTATTACCTCTGACCACCCAAATCCTCAGAAGTCTATGCTGCAAGTACCAATTCATGCTATATTTACATTTATTAACAAAGTGAGTCCATGGAATAAAGGAACTGTGTTCCGAATTGACCCTAGTCATGGCTGGGTGTCAGCGCCCAACCTACAAGATGACGGGGGGATATCAACGGTGACGACACAGTCTGGAGCCTGACCAATAAATGCCATTCACCAAAGTCGTATTTATAGACATAATACTCCTATACAGTAATAATTCTATCTCTTTTTCAATTAGATCTCTATAGGGGCCTACCTGGTATCCAAGTAGTGACTAGGTATTACGCTACACTGCTGATAGTGGCAGCTGGCGGGGTAATCCTACTAACCTGTGGTTCCATCTACGGTACTCGATTCTTAGAACATTTAGCAGCATTAATTCCCTTTCTTAGTTGCTAATGTCATAATCATTTTCTTTATCGTCAATGAGCTACTAGAGATCACACCATAGCCACATTGTAGTGCCTCTGCACTACAGCCAAGGCTGCTGTACAAGTCTGTGTGGGCCTGGGCCCCACAGCTGGGAAACACATCGGAGTCAAGGGGTGTACTTCTTGGTAGGAGTTAAGTTGAACTTAGATACTTAGAGCATTCAATTCCCTTAAGGAGGAAAATGGGGGGACGCTCTGCTCTAGTGAGTGTGGCCGCCCTTGTGGTGGCCGTCTCAGTGTCTTTTGTCGATGCATTCCAGGCTTCTCGAACTAGCGCAGTAATGGGTCCAACCAGTCTTCACGGTTTCAGTTCTTTGAGATCAGCTGTGTGGTCTCCCAATAAACAGACTGGGTTTGCTCCTTCTGCGACGCTGGCCGCCCCACACGTCATCCGGCAATCCCCGACGTCCACCGGTGTCTTCGTGAGTGGTTCCACGAAACCCATCAATTCCGAGATTTATGTGCTCGAACAGTCTGTGGTGCTTATTTATTGGGGTATTCCATAAGTACATGGTTATAAGGGTGGGGCTCTCGGGAGAGGCATGCGTTGTGTCTGGTGGCCTCAGGCAAGAAGGTCAAAGAGAGTCATCCTTGCGGATGAATGCAGGAACCAGTTGCTGGAAGGGATTCAACAGGTCGCAAATGCCGTTCGTGTAAGCTATACTTGCAACCCACTTTATTACTTGGTCACTCTGGGGTGTATCCCCGCCCATTCTCCTAGCCGGTTCTGCGCATATTGCCTGTTATGATTTAGGTAACTCTGGGCCCTCGAGGGCGCAACATCTTACTGGAGAAGGACTATGGCCCCCCGCTGATTGTGAACGATGGGGTTACCATTGCACGCAATATTGAACTTCCTAATAGGGCACACAATGCTGGGGCGAAACTCGTGCAAGAAGTGGCGTCTACGTCTGATGAGTGGGCAGGGGATGGTACATCTTCCACGACAATCCTTACTGCGGAGATTGCGAAGAAGGTGTGTGTCTTGCTGAGCTGCTGAGAGTATAAAGAAAGTGTGCATTATATGCAACGCCTAGGCCTGCATTTGCTGCGTCCTCAACTGTGGTGGTTTTCCACATGCAGGGTGTTGAGTACGTGAACCAGGGACACAACCCAATCCCGTTGCAGCGTGGCATTCAAAAAGCTGCGCGCATCATGATGGATGAAGTGAGGAAACTTGCAAAGCCTGTCAACGGCTTCGGCGATCTGCTTAACATCGCAACTGTGGCGACCAGCGGGAATGCGTCGATGGGCGAAGTAATTGCGAAAGCATTTGACAAACTGGGCAACCACGCCGCCATCGTCCTAGAAAACAATCCGTCGCAGGAGGATAATGTAGGCGAGGGGGCCCAATATGCCCACTGCATGGCGAGTCCACCCACGTATGTACGCGTGTGCAGACGCAGCTGCAAACTTTGTGTTGCACTGGTACTGTGGTCATGTTGCTGCTGTTTTTGCAGCTTGAATTCACAGAGGGATACACGTTCGAGAGGGGGTACAGCTCGCCTTACTTCTTGTTAGGAGAAGAAGCAGACTTTATCGAGTGGAAGAATCCTCACGTCATGGTGTGCGATTACAAGATTGAAAGTGCTCAAGCTATGCTTCCAATTCTAGAGCATTTTGTGCGAACCAAGGAACCTTTGGTCATCATTGCTGAGGACTTTTCCACAGATATGCTTCAGACCTGCATCATTAACAGTATGAGAAGGCTGCTCAAAGTGGTGCGCAAAGCGATCCTCCCAGGCAGCACATATTGGCACTGGCACACACCGGCAAATGCACGCATACGTTTGCTTATGCATATACTTATACATATACATAATATATATATA